CCCTCTACTATTATTTGGAGCTTAGTTACATATAAATTGTAAAACACATACAGTATTCCAGCAAAAGTTCACAATGAATTGCAAGTAAACATTTTACATATACCTCTAGTATTTGTTTTCCATATATTTGTATCTGTGGAACAGCAAGTTGTACTCTAGTTTTAGGAGTTCCATATTTCTTCAATTGGTTYACCTTGGGTTTTGCCTGCATAATGAATGGAACTTTAGCTGCTCAAATTGCAAATGGATCACAAGAKGCAATGATTTATCCTAACATTCTCAGTCCACATGCACAAAAAACAGCAAAAAACAAACAAAAAAATCTGTATGCAGATTGAAACATTGAAATCAGGGGACARACATCCATATGGSGATGTGCAAGAAGAACCAAAAGGATGGAGGGCAATCTAGCATGCACAGGAGAGAGAGATCAAGACTATGGTCCCCAAGCTAGAAAAGTGAAGGAATACACCTAAAGCATGCATTTGAATGCCGATCAAAACTTTTAATAAGATTCAAAATAAAATAATTGTTTCAACTTAAACAAAAAATCGAAATGTCCTCTAAGATTTTTTGGGTTGTCTTTACACCAGCAAATACTGTACRGYATAAAACTTCTTTAATATTCTGCTGGTAAAAGTTTGATTTCCAGCCTGTTTTCCYYTACCTTACAAAGGATGTCTCTCAATGTTCCTTCAGGCAGGAAATTCCTAACKGTAATGATGCCATGTTCAGTTGATGTAGTAAAACCAGTTGGATAGATATAAGGATGCTGAAAACAGAGATTGAAACACAACAATGTGGAATGAAAACGTAATAAATTCAATAAAATAATGAAATGAAATATTAATTSATCAGTTAGTGACAAGAGAAAAAGAACAGGATATCTTCTAAAGTACTCATGAATAACTGGCCATATGCGATATTTCAGAGATCAACAGATTGACATTCCTATCCATATACATACAGTGTGCATAAGATAATTTACCTGTATATTAGGGAAGACTTTAATAAGAGTTTCCATGTCTTTCTCTTCAATACAAAAGTCTGAACCAAACTCAGTCTGTCGAAAAAATGGCAGAAAAAAAAGAAGCTTGATTAAAAAGGAGAAATTTTAGAGAAAGCACTGTCCAAAACAATATAATATTATAAAATCTTACAAAGGTGTAGCTTTTGGGCTTTTTTTCCTTTTTTAGGATAACAGATTGTGTTCTAACTACTTGTTAAAAATGTATAGTTAATAAACATACCCAAGACAAGATGCTTCTCACATCTTTTTTAGTGGAATCCGTTGGTTTAATCAGAAAATAGTCTTTTCTTAGTCTCCACCCTATCAAAAATGAAAAAGAGAGTTCATGAGTTCATTATGTTATTTCTTATTCAATTTATTGCAATGTTGYTTTGAGACAGTAATTCAATGAGAAAAATAAAAAAAAAATCTTTTAAAAAAATTCTTAAATGACATGTATAAGATACAAATCTCTCATGACTCAATGTACAATCAATGCAGTTAGTGTGTGTGAATTTAAATTCCTACCAATATCAGGCARTGGCTCAACAATTTCCCAATTCGGCACCGACCGTAGAAACATTGCTACGTGCTGCATTGATTTCTCTGGAAGAAATTAGAAATATGTTAAACATAGATGTATGTAATTATTATATATTCCATCAACCATAATTATACACCAAATATCCATTGTATCATCATGTTGCCTTTTTTAAGGAATTTCAATCACTATAAGAGCATGTATTTACATTGCATATAGATAATTTGTTACAAAAAAATTATCAGTCAGCCTAGCTTGTTATACAATGAGTCTATTATACAGTAAATAGCTTTGTATTGTATTATATTGCATTGCATTGTATTGTATTGTTGTGTATTGTATTGTATTGCATTGCATTGCATTGCATTGTTTTGTTGTGCATTGTATTGCATTGTATTATATTGTATTGTAAATTTGTAAATAGATAACTTGGAAGATATCACCCATATATATAAACTGACCCTTAGAATGTAAAGCAATAAGAGTGGATTTCGCATGACAATGTGCAAAAAACATATGACACTATTGGGCTGTGACTGTAGTGCAGCGACAGTGTCAGATGTGATCTTGAATCTTATTTTCATTTGGCGCCTTTTTCACAGTACCATGCCTTATCCCTGACGTGATCCATGCCATAGCACAGTCATACCAAATCTGCTCTTAAGAGTAAATGTACATTGTATTGTTCAATCTGTCTCAGGGAACTGAGATTTTACCTTGGAAATCTTCAGAGTAATTAACAGGATCCAAGAACTTTTTAACTGATATGTGTCTTGCAAGAAGTGGATGTGCCATGATGAAATGAATATAGCTCTGGTTAGAAATGACAATAAAATTAATGTTGAATAAATGCATCTACGATTTACTGTAGAGCCAATGATAGCAATAGCTCATAAAGGCCTGACACTCCACAGGAATACAAACAAAAACGACAATAGCTAGAGATGTTTAGTTTCATTAAACTAAACATTATAATACAAAATAACTAAAAATGGTAAAAATGCATAGTTTGGGCTACCTGTGTAGGTATGTACTGCATTGTTAAAGCTTGGAATGATTAACCTTTTTCCTAATGTTGAATTTATTTTTTTTCCCAAGAATGCACAAGGTTAGTTTGMAAAATACCTGTAGTCCTTGTTGTCTCTCTGCTATAAATGTACTATCCATATTACCAAAGACTTTCTTGGGTGGAAGAGGAAGCTCAATGCCTGAGGGCTGGAAACAAAATATCAACAAAATCTTAAAAAAAAATAAACAAATTTTTAATTGTTGTCACTAATAGACAACTGCAAAGTAAATAAGAAAGGGTAACTTTTAAAACAAGATACTGCACCTCCAATGTTGCTTGTAATGTTGCAAAGTCACTGTATCGATGCAAAACCTGCATTATAAATTATAGAATATCTTATATAGATGATTTCTAACGYGTGCTCTGATTGGCTGAAAAAGTGTGGTTTATGAGAGTATAAACCATGATTGTGTGCGTGCGATTTTTGAAAACGGCAACATAATCTCAGCCTGTGGTTTATACTCTGATAAACGTACACTTGGCATTTGAAACACACAAGAAAATGTCAAGAAGCACGAGCTGAATAATGAATAAAATAAGTAATTTGCACATATATTATGGAGTAAACGTTTGTGAGTGAATCAAACGATCAATCAGCCCTTCAGTTCATCAATCAATCATGTCTCAATCAATCTTTAGACAAGACACAAAATAAACACTCGAGTTAATAAGTAATATAAAGAATTACGCAAAAGCAAAAGAAACCACTTCAATAATACAACAATCTATCATTAGATCAAACGCAAGCTGCATAGAGTACTGACGAGTTGTTCAGCTACAAACAAAGCACCTCTGACCCCCAGTTTCAATTAAGCTTAAATGTAATGCACCAGTCATTGTAAATCCCCGCCCCCCCCAACCCGGGAAGGGCAGTAACTTAAGCGGGGAAAAAGTAAGAATTTTAATGCTACAAGTTCCCCGGGTACCGGAGTCTTGGATGAGATTTTCGTCTTCGGTTCTCAACCCGGGGATTTCAT